TTTTAAAAAAAGCTGGTCCAATATTGCTTTTTTCAAAAATAATTTAGTTGCAAAATAAAAATCAAGTTAGTTTCTTCTAAAAGCTCTTCTATAGAAAGCAAATACAAAAGTCATGTCAAACAAGCTTTTATAAGCTTATGCCAATTAAGACTTTATTACTTTTCGTCTTATAAAGGTCAAACATACAACTTTCTTAATTATGATTTCATCCCTGAACTTATCAGAAATTACAAAAGTAACCCGAATGGTTCTCTAACTGCTAATGACCGTACTTTTCATTAATTGCACCTATGTGACCATAATCTAATGCAGAAGTAGAAATTTCAAATTAAATATTTGAGCTTAAAATATGATGTATTACTTATTAGTATTATACATAATTTTAACATGCTTTTTTCTTTCGATCTCTTTATTATTATTATTATTATTATTATTATTATTATTATTATTATTATTATTATTATTATTATTATTCCCTCTCTGGTGCTGGTGGCTTCTACTAATGGCATGGTGCAAGCTGTGGAACTATGCTCGGTTGTAGTAGGACAGGACGGGATTGCTATTGGTGGGCTGTGGAGATCGTTAGGGAAAAATGAAGCAATTTGTTAAATATATAATAAATTTTTATCACTCTATTTATTTATTTGAGAGGATTATAAATGCCTCTTCTGATTTGTCTTTTTTAATATATATATATAGTGAGTAACTTCAACTAGAGGTGGGCGCGGGTCGGTTCGATTCGATTCGATTCGGTTCGATTTTAAAGAGAACCGAATCGAACCAAAATTTTCAGGTATCTAGTAAATGAAACCGTCGGGTCCAAATATACTCATGGAAATTGGAACCCTTCGGGTTCGGTTCCGTTCCGTTCCGTTCCGTTTAATTCAGTTCGGTTCCGTACTATAATTAAATTTTTTAACATTTATAACAATATTATATAAATACAAATAATGACACATTCAATCGTTTTGAAATATCAGAGACTATTAGACTACCTTGTTCAAATGATCACTACGGTCAAAACTTCAATCGGCGGAGGTCACAACTTCAATTGGAGGTCACAGTGTCGGGCAGCGATTGTATAGGTTTTGGAATTTCAGCGAGGCTGTGAGAGTGAGTGCGAGAGTCGAGACAGCTTTATGCACTTTAGTGTAGGTATTTAAGGTTATTTAGCGGGTTGGATCTTTGTTGGGCTAAAAAATGAAACAATAAAATGGGTAATTGGGCCAAAAATTAAAAAATTAGAAATGAAACAAATTATTGGGTCACAAATTTGGATTTAGAAATTGTTAATTTGTTTTTAAAAAATTAAATTTAAAATAATTTGATTTATTCAATATAAAAAAAATTAGAAAAATTCGGTTCTTATTCGATTTTTCGGTTCTTGGTCTAGAATCGAGAACCAAACCGTACCCGTCGATTCTCAATTCAAATACCCGTTCGGGTATTTAATTAGACAAGAACCAGCGGGTTCGGTTCGATTCGAGAGATTTGCCCAGCCCTAACTTCAACTAATCATATTTTCTTGAAATATTGATTTCTCATTTGGGGAACAAACTAAATCAAGCAACATAAAAATATCGAATGAATTTGCAATTAGCTTGATTTAATTATTATAAACCGTATGTGCATGATGATTTCTTAATTATCCATCAATCGTGTTTGAAAAAAACTCATATTTTATAATTTATATTGTTGAGATTCAGGAACGTTCTAATACCTACTTCAACTTTTAAAATTACCAAGTTTACGTTTCACATTATCGATTAGTTCGACCTTACATGCGGAATTGACTAATTAAAGCAAACATGTCACTTTTAATTAGTTTCTAGATAATTAAGCATACACTTCAATTAACCCTATGTTTGAATACCGCAATTTATAATAATATGCTGGAAAGTGAACAACACAAAATATTTGATGACGGAGAAATCCAACGTGGGAAAAATTTCGAGACCAAGCCAGTTACCTTTACTATAGACAGTTCAGGGAATATACAGCAATTTCAAATCTTTACTCGCTAAGACCCGTTGTCACAATCTCACAATCTACTGGCATAGATGCCTCTAGCCTGCTAGACCTCATGATCTACCTCCTGCAACCTCCTGTTGCCGTAAATACATTTAGCCTCCTGCTAGACTTCCTGATCAACCTCTTGTATCCCAATGTGCTGTCTCCTACAACTTTCTTATCTTACGCTGAATGTCTCTCCAAGTGGAACACCAAGAATCGTCTGTTCTTGTGCTTGTAACTGCACTTCAATCCGCCTGTTTTTGTTCTAGATCTCATGACCTACCTCCTGCTATCGTAGATACTTCTAGCCTCCTACTAGACTTCCTGATCTACCTCCTACAGCTCTATCTGCTGTCTCCAATAGCCTCCTGCTCTTACGCTAATGTCTCTCCAAGTGGACCACTAAGAATCGCATGTTCTTGTGCTTGTAACCGCACTTCAATCTACTTCTCTCAATCTTTCAATAAGAGAGTCTCTTCCTCAATATATTAAGGAAGCATGGTGTTTTGGGTTGTGAAGATTGATATTTTCCCAAAACCTAGTTGTCGGATCACAAGATGTTATGAATGTAAATCACCAATGATTTTTGTCTTGGATCTCTTGAACAAAGATGTGTTGATGTTATGCAATGAAAGAACAACGTGGCAACTCCGTTTCTCACGTCACAGTCTTTGGTATTTATACTTGGAGATAAATAAGTGTTTTGGGCCGTATAAAATTCTCCAAAATGTGACCTAGGGTTTGGTCACAAACACTGTCGCTTGAGCGATGTCGAGCGAGAAGCAAGCGACAGCTTCTTCGCTCGAGCGACGCCTAGGCGAAAAGCGGGCTACGATGGTTTTGCTTCCTTTGCTCGAGCAACACCTTGGCGAGTAGTTGGCGAAAAATCGGCGAGTCTTCTACCTTGTCCCAAACTCAACCCTAACCTAAATCATCTATACAAATTGTAACCTAAGTCCCTAACTTTTATATCAATGTTCAATTAAGTCTCTTTTGTTCACAAAATTGCCAATTACAAAATAAACCTAACATATATTTTTATAACAATATTTTGTAATGATATTCTTTTAACTAAAATAATCTCATTCAAATAAAAAATATGAAATAGTACATTTACGAAATAATAAATAAATCAAAATTATATAGCCCTTATTTGGTGTGGATTAAAATTGTGATAATTTTTTTAAGTCAAATTCAATAATTAATTTTAACCACAATTTTATATCATGTGTTTCTTTAATTTTTATCAAAATTTAATTTTAAAAAACGCTCATTTTTAACTACACCAAATAGGTGTATTGTCTAAAGCTCTGTTTAAACTCCATTATTTTCTCATTAAAATGAAAAATATGACCGTTATCCATCACATCAAGTCACCATATTTGACTTTTTATTTCTCATATAAAGTCCATAACGACTATATTTTTCATTCTCATTTTTACAATAATATGATTCAAACGCGGCTAAATATAATGAAATAACAACTACAACAGAATATAAAACTTTTTGCTGACAAAAGAGTCGGATGTAGAGGAGTAATTGTGCACCTAAACTTAAAACATGTGTTTGAATTATCTATAATCAGTTAAAATTATACCCTACCTAACAAATATATTTTTATAAGTGATCAAATTTTATTTTTAACTACACATTTCTGTTAACCTACAAGTACTATCGATAACTCAATTCTATCTATTTATAATTTAGCCCCCGTTTGACCTCCATTTTGTGATAATGAAAATGGGTGAAATAATATTTTTTTTGAAAAACGAGTGTTTAAAAAAAAGGAAAAATTTTCGATTTACGTGTAATATTATTTTATGAAAAATTGAGTGGTTAAAAATAGGAGAGAGAAAAATGAAACGTAATGAAATGAAAATTAATGGGGGCCAAACGGGGGCTTAAAGTTTATAAATTCTTCCCAAACAAATGAAATGTCAATAAAATAAGTGATGAATAAGTGGATAATTTCATAAATTTTATGAAATATATGGATGATATGATCAATGAGAGGCAAACAAGTGCCAAACATGTTAGAATAGGTACAAGAATGAAACTACACTCATTAGATATATGTGGGAGACTAATGGCACAAATTTTCCAATAATCGAACGATGTCCAAGAGCATTTGTGTAATTTGGTCTACCTATAGAGATCGGCATACATTACTCTAAACACGTGTCTGTGTCAGGAAACCATTACGTGGTCTCTTATCACGTGAGATGGGTCCCATAAAAGCAAAAAAATCGACATGCTTTTGTCGACATGAGCCACCTTCTTTCACATTATTTTGCAATTTGCAAGCAGATTATTTCATTGGCCACTTGCCCATTCTATTGGGGTCCACATGATCTAGCATCACGAAATCCTGACATTTTCCAGGATTCACAAAAAAATTAAAAAACAAATAATAATAATAACAATAAAATAAAATAAAAATGAATAATACTATATGTACATCCGCACTTCGATAGCTCTACACAGGGTGGGACCCAATGCCAATAAAATAATCGCGGCCTCATCCGCATGTGTGTATAGTGTCGTTCGGATATCAACCAAGAGCTTAACCACACATTTCATCGATATGTATCAAAATTTACTAAAAAATTTAATTTTAATTCTCATCAATCGAGAGCTAAATAAAAATTAAAGGAGATTGATTGACAAGAATCAAATGGTCAACATTTAAGGTGTACAGGGTTCCAAATTTACTTCTATTAAAGTCCGGTACAAGAGTACTTTAGTTTAAAAAAGTTAAATGAGAGAGAAATAACGAACCTATTAGAGTAAAATAAGCAATTTATCAATTGAGGAGACCATAATTTAGGCTCATCAACTCAAAAATTGACATACAACTGTAAGTTGTTAAAATAATAATCTGAGTGTTGAATAAGTGGGTCATGGTAACTCCTACAAAATGTCCGAATAAAATTAATGTTTGATTTTGAACATTAAATTATAAGGAAATTATAATTTTCCAAATCCTCTTTTAACTGCCATGCTAACTGAAATTACTCGAGATCTATATGACAAATACATACAACGTGCAAATGTAAAATGTAAATTAGTATACACAACATTAATACACAATAATTTTTTTTTTCATAAAAAAGAAAAGAAAAAACTAAAATTTCTAAAAAGGTAAAATACCCAATAGATCATGCAAAAGTGACTAAAATCCACCACCTAACAGTGAGAATGGATACTGTAGTGGATTAGAATTCTCCCCATCGATAAGTCCTTCATAATAAACTGAATTCATAGCACCAGCATTATTATACCTGGCTATGCTATTTATTGGTTGCGGCGCAACCTCAAAACCGCCACTTTTGTCGGAGGAACACAGTGAAGAACCAGGAATGGTGGCAAAATTGTAAGGGTCTTGCTCAATTATAGGCATATCTATGCCTTGTCTTTTGTTCAACCAATCCGGGAAAGCAAGCTCCAGTAGTGGCGAACATTGATAAAATGTATCGACTTCCAAATTCTCATCTGGTGAAGAAATTGTGGATATATCCCTCGAGGGAGTAACTTCTTGATCATCTTCACTCTTGATTGATGAACTTGATACGGCCATTCCCGACGAAGAATTTGAAGACGTTGAAGATATCACAAGCCTTCTCTTCTTCCCGCTGTTACCTAAAGCCAACCTTCTCGTTTTCTCTTTTTCAAGCATCACGCGAGTTAAGATGTCCGGATCTTCAACAAGTTTGTTAAGGAAAGTCATCATTTGTTGGGGTCTCCTCTCCGTGGCCTCAAGCCTTCTGTTCATGCTCTCGAGCTCTTGTTCCAAACCCTTCTGTTCTTGTTTTAACTTTGAAATCTCCATCAATAGCTCCTCATCTTCCTCATCTTCGTATTTTTGATGGGAACCAAAGGTTTTACTACTATGCTTCCTTCTCACTATGTTCTTCAACAAATGAGTTTGCCCTCGTAGAAACCATTCATTTGCAAACTCCCACCTATCCGGATCAACCTTTTTAAAACCCTGATGCAATTGATGATCAAAATGATTATATGACCATTTGGATCTAATTTATAAATTGGTTTATAAATTCAGTCAAAAGTCAAAGATTAAGTTCAATCATACACTCATAAATATTACTCATCACTATTCACACATTTCGTGAGCCCCAATACTATTCCTCTTTATAATTTGATTTATAAATTTGCCAGACGGAGCCTATATCAATTCTTTGTTAAACCAGAACAAAAAGGGACATGGAGACTACCATCGAAGTTGAGAAATATTACTACAATTTTGAATGGTAAGTTCAGCTAATATCGACAAATAAAGATGTGGAAAAACAGGATTGATCTTGCAAAATTCAAGCTCGACTCAAACAAAATCATCCTGCTCTAAACAACCAAGTTAATTTACTAATTACACACAACATAGGCATGAAGAATGTATCAGATGAGCTCAATATATCATATAGCAATAACTCACACAGAGATGGAAGAGAAACATAGGATTTCAAACTACGACATTCGACTATACAACATGCTCCATCCATTTAGGTAATTTATCTACTTGTGTCAGAATTTTGGCCATGAAGGATAAATTTGGAAAGCTTTATTAGAGCCTTCAAGATTCAGTGAATAAATTGATTTAAATGGTCTTTTCAGAGACAATTAATGTTTCAGCTGCAATTTTGTGAATCCAAGTTATTTTCACCTGCGAGGATCAAACTTCGTATCTTACTTTCCTGAACAAGGAATTGAAAGAAGTCCTTGCATTTTCCCTTTTCCCCCCATCAAATTAACCAAAAGGAAAAACAAAAGAGAAAACAAAGAACAAGACAAAACTATATAAACATCTCCTCTCCGCAGGTCTCAACTACAATATCTGCTTCCTCGTGTTACCAAACATAAAGGTTAAAGAAATCAAATTATAAACCCCAAAACTAGTAAGGTTGCACATTTAAGAAAGGAGGCAATCCACAACAATATGCTAAGATTAGCACAAGAACTTGAAACTCCGATTTAATCAATTTTGTGCAATACATAGAGGCTTTTGAATTCATATGATGTTAGGTATAGTTTCTTCAATACACATGTTTATGCAAGGAAGAATAATCTTTTAAATTCGTACCTAACAAATTTGAAACTCTCAATTAATGAGTTTTGCTTGATATACACACTTTTGTTTTCAACGTTACGCTAGATGCAGTTCATTTGTATATATAATAATTATAATAATGATTATGAACTAATAACACCAAGCAGGCCAATATTAAAATTTTCCAATAAACGTTTGGTTTAACAACTGTTCATCTTCCATTTACAAGATAAAAAGAAAGGGGGGCGGGGAGGGGGGGGAATACCCTTTGCCTCTGTTTATGATTCTTGCTACATATACAACTGGTTTGATTCAAAATTTTCTAGAGTTCAAGTTAAATTGGGACTGAATAAAAAAGGAAAAAAAAAATTGAAATTACATACAAAATAGAATTACAGTCAACCCAGATACCCATATAATCTATTCTGAGAAAAATGATACAACAAAACAATATAGAATTGCAGGAGGCAAGAACTCACATAAGTATTGAGCTGACGAATAAAGCTTGAGAAATTTTTGTGCTTGAAGAAAGCAGGCAAAATCCTCTGCGAAAAACTCAAAGGCTCCACAACAACAAAACTGTTATTATCCTTTCCCCATGTAATTAGCTCGTTTGTTGTGGGATCATTCACCATTTGGTATGTTTTCATAACAAACAGCGCAACAATATTGCTACTACTTTCCATATCTTGCCCGTTCATTTTCTTCTCTAGTCCTTTTCTCTCTCTTAAAAAAGGATTCAGATGAACAGGAGAAAGAAATGGCTAGCCAAGTGCAGATAACGGTGTCTGCCAAAACAAAAAAAACTTTCGCATTCAATCCTGACCGTGAAAGGGCACCATAATATAGCGTGGAGTGGGTGTGGGAAGGAGGGGGGGGGGGGGGAAAAAAAGGGGGGGGCAGGGGGGGTNNNNGGGGGGGGGGGTAAAAAAGCGATGGTCAAGGTGGATTTTTTAAAATTCAACCGAACTTAATCTAGTCGAATCGATTTAAATTTAGTCCTATTTAGTGAGAATTAAAGTTAAATTTTAACAAATTTTGATAAAAATTGATAAAATATATTGTTAAAAAGATGTGTGACACATGAAATATATGATTAAAACGAATTGCTGATTTTGATTTAAACTAAAATTTAGATTTTAGTTCTTACCAAAAAGAGACTAAAGATTAAAATCACGAAATTTAATATGTCATGAGGACAATGATCCTACTGTTACATAGACGATTGCCATTTTATATAAATAACATTATTTTAAGCACAGTTAACATCAATTTAAATTAAAATTTATATTTTAGTTCTTACCAAAAAGGGACTACAGATTAAAATCACGAAATTTAATATGTCATGAGGACAATGATCCTACTGTTACATAGACGTTTGCCATTTTATATAAATAACATTATTTTAAGCACAGTTGACATCAATTTATGTAATAGTGAGATGATATGTACATTCACTGATGGAATGAAAATGTATTTTAATTTAGGGTATATATATACTACAAATTTTTTTTAATTACACTACATTTCTATTGCAATGCATATCCTGAAATTTTCTTATCATTAAACTTGTGTGCTCAACATTTTTTTTTTTTTAAATTTATCACCAGTCTTCTACTAATTTTCACATTTTGTCCATAGAGATGATTTTCATCCAAAATATTTGGTATAAGAGCCAAAAAGATATATTTCTCTATTGCACTTTTAAATAATTGAAATAAATAACTAATATAAAAGTCAAAAAAATTTGTCCATCGTGATTAAAGACAAAATATGTTAATTAATTAAAGGTTAAAAATGATAATACAATACGAAAAAAGTTGAGAACATAAAAATAAAATGAGCAAATTTCGAAAACCTTCATTATAAATAAATTGTGGTGGTGTGAGAATATAACTACCCTTTAATTGATTACAGAATGAGACAAAAAATAAAATACTATGTCCCGTTTAGTAGCTATTTTTTTCAAAATATATTTTTCTTTCTCTTCTTTTCAACCGCATATTTTTTATTAAAATAATATTACACATAAATGAAAAACTTTTCTCTATTTCTCAACTACACAATTCATATCAATTTACTATTCTAAAATATTTTTTACATAAAAATACCTATTAAACACCCCCTATATAAAGATTTTGATAAACGAACAGGGCCTTGACTGGAGGTGTCAAATTGACGCCCTGTCATGGCCCTTGTCACCGTAGCAAAACCCAATACATAAATTGTTGTCTATCATCTATTTTCATAAATAACGTTATTTTTTATGTAAGCATAAATTGACAATTATCTGAACTCTGAACAATTCACGGTGTTAACATGGCGATCGAAGGAATGGGGTCGATATTTTGTTGGGGGTAAGGGGGTCACGTGGCTTTAAACTTTTTTATCCTTATTGATACACGTCATGCTCCGGATAATTATAGATATTTCACTAAAGTCTTGATTCACACGCGCGGACCAATGAGAGTCTAGATGCTGCCCCTTTTTATAATGAAGTGGTCCCATTTTACAATTTGCTGCGTGTCCAGTGATGGGAGAAAGATGCCAGAAGTGTTACTCTGGATTAGGGACAGCAATACGGCGAAACGGCGGGGTTGGGTGTTTTCTTGCCCGTACCCGCCCCGTTACTCGTTTAAGGAGGGACGGTAATTTTAATTTTTTTGATTTTTAATAATTCATTTTAATGTACTCATACATTCAAGTAAGACAATAATATGGTTATTAAATTTTTTAATTAATTAATTATTTTTAAAAAATTAAATTATTCGAATACATTTGCTAAGTGAAGTTTTTATTGTTTATCATATTCTTTAAATTATCTTAATTACCATCTTCTATTAGAATTAATAAAATATCATGGAGTTTTTCTACATGTTTGAGCCACATTATTTCCTAATAATGCATTTTAGAATAATAAATTAATAGAGAAAGTGTGGTTAAAAAATACATTTTTTTTGAATTTATGTGTAATTTATTTTATTAAATAATGTGTAATTGAAAATAAAAAAATAAAAATATATTTTAAAAATAATGGAAATCAAACAAGAACTTAAAGTATTGAATTCTTAAATAAATAAGTTAAACGAGGTGGGCCCCCCGTTACTCGTACCTGTCTCGGGGCAGAATTCCCCATGCATGTACCCGACCCAATTAAGTGGGTAATCTCCGTCCCAAACGGAGCAAGTCCTCGCGGGTATCAAGTTTGTCATTCCTACTCTAGATGTTCAGTCCAAGCGTATAATTAAATTAATTTGCACACCAGGTACACTAAAACGTATTTATTAAAATTTGACCACATTTATTTTTGTTACTGGTGTGTACATTTGCCCCAAAGTACAGAAATTAGTTGTTTTTTATTTTATTATTTCGTTTAATTTAGGTCCTTTTCCCGCAATAGCGGTAAAGCAATCGAAAAAGTTAAAATAAAGTGTACTTCTATAACTAATGGAATTGACATTTACGAGGGAGAATTTGTAAGGTTTTGATTTGCAGTGAAGCCCTAATCGTGCGAAAAGTATATAAATTAATCTTGTTTAGCGCAAAAATCGAGTATTGAATATGTGTAATCTCTAGTAAGTTGTGTGACCCTAGTGATTTCGGGTCAGCCAATGAGCACTTTGATAAGCTGTTCATGATGGATGGATCATCCAACCAAACCTTTATCACGTGGACTAGGTTTTCTTGCATATTATATTGGGGACATTTATAGAATTTCAGAAGAATGAGAAAAGATCCAAGGGTTAAGAATGAAAATTTTAACAATAGCAAAAAATAAAACTTGAAGACAGCATCTACTATATTAAATTTAATAATGAAAGAAAAATCATTACGTAAATACGATTAATATATAGTTTAAATAACAATTTAGGCAATAAATTGTGTTACGATACCAAGTAATGAAGTAATGTCACGTCATAGATGCGAGGAGAGGCAATGACTCACCATTTGTACTATTGTTGATCTGACATCGTTGAACTCGCTAGACACTTTCGTTTAAATTATTACAAATGACGAGCCAATGCTAAATGCAAAGGCAAGACAATCTATATATTTAAGTCAAAACTCTGTCCATCTATCTTCATTTAATTACGAATTGAATCATGATTTATATATTAAGGTTATGTTTGAGCCACATTTTTAAATAGCGATTTGATATCATTTAAACAACACATTCTTCAATAAAATAATATTATACGTAAATCCAAAACTTTTCTTTATTTTTTTAACCAAACATTTCCCATTAATATACTATACAAAAATGCATTCTTAGACATATAATGTGGCTTAAACAAGGGCTAAAAATGCCCTTAGTTATCACGTATCATTTTTCCTGTGGTCAAGCAGTTCGTCTTGTGTAGTTATACAAGTGGAATGGTGTATCATTACGAGATCTCGACAATGAACTTCAAGAGAATTTTGTTGCTTACAATAGTGAAGAATATTACTAGTGGTTGCCTTGGTTCAAGGCCCTATATTTGTCCTCGATCGTCCTTTCATTTAAATAAATTACAATGTAGTGGTTTTGACTAGTGACACGTATCAAAAATCCAATCAATTTTAAATATTAGGTGCTTGGAGTATCGGAAACATACTTTTGGATTCCAAATGTGTCCTTGTCTCCTAGCTAATATGCTTTACATACAATAATTTGAGTGCTTATTAGCCCCCGTTTGGCCCCAATTAATTTAATTTCCATTACATTCTATTTTTTACTTTCTCATTTTCAACCACACAAGCTTCTATAAAATAATATTATACGTAAATCGAAAACTTTTCATTCTTTTTCAACCACTCATTTTTCAAAAAAACACTATTCCACCCATTTTCTTTTCTACAAAATGGGGGCCAAACAGAGACTAGTGGAAAGGATATTTGTTGATGGCTTATTGCATGATCAAGCATCTCATCAACACTTGACTTATAAGATAGAAAGCACTTTTTATTTTTATTTTTTAAACTCTTTACTTTGCTATATTACATCGTTAGCAAGCAAGTTGTAGCAATTTGTCGACTTGAAGGATTTAATGCCTAGACAAGGGGTATCGAAATCAAAATTTAGGTCGAGTCATGACTAACGAGAAGGTGATGGACTCCACAAATTAAATAAGACACATGATAATGACCACAAATCTCTCTTTAAGACAAGTAGGATCTGTTAGTTTCCCAAAGGAGAAAAGGGACACAATTATTCATCAAATAAATATATTAAATATTAAATGAGACACAAAAGATCTAATAAAAGTGGAAATAGCATGCGATATCTTTTGCTTTCTAATATTTTACAATCCTGCTGTGTGTACAGCAGGCTTCATACAGAAGCCCGTCAGAACACACACATAGAGGGGGTATTTTTTGACAATTTTTTTTCATGGTGGTTCCCACGCACGAGAGTAATCTGGCCAAATTCTGTGTAAAATTTTCTGTACAAATGGCTTAATACAATATTTTATCATATGATAAATTTATTCACTATTACTTTTCTCTTCATTTAATATAAATTTACACTGTACAAGTTACTAATAGAAGTAATGGGCATAATTTATGAAAAACTATTAGCAAGTTGATGACATGTTTGTTAACTTTTCAAACCTTCAATAATGTTAATTGTCAAATAGTTGATAGATTTACATTATAAAACAACATTTATGAATATCTTCTATTAAATAATGACCAGTGACTTTTGAAGAAAGAAATTAATTTATTCGATTGATTAGATATAAAGAAGATAGAGTGGAGTGATGGTATTGTTCGTTCATTGTAAAAGATAAAATGTTCTTATTCACGTATAAACAATTCATTTTCAC